AGCATATGTGGACTTCTATTCACAGAGAATGGAAAAGGGGCAATCAAGAATTGGACCAATCTAGAGAAGAGGGCTTTACAACCATACCTTTGGCAGTGTGTCATCAAATTTGTCTGGAGGCTGAGTTGCAAAGTCAGGAGGAAGGTCATCCAAGCCAGGGAAGAGGCTAGTGAGGAAATGCGACGAGAATTGTTGCAAGAACTGTCTCCTAGTAGTTACCTCACGTTGCCAAACCTCACTACTTTCCACACTAAGTGCTGTTGCCCACTTTAGAGAGAGAAAGAGGAGAAAAAGCTGATCAGATCTTACATTTCCAATCATAGATGTCAAATCCTGGAAAAAAAATGCTTTCCTGAAAAAATCTCGAAGTGAAGTAACCAAATAGCTCTCTCCTTAATCTTGATTTTCTTAAATTCACAATTCACAAGTTATTTCAACTTTTCATGAGATTTATTTCTCCAAATCTATATATCAAAACCATAAGAAGGTACTAAAACTACAAATAAAAGCCAATGATATTTTAAGATGAATGTAGAAGCCTCTGACCTGAACAAAAGCCTGTGAGAAGGCATGCCGGCGCGCCACCTCTGTGATGGCCCCAACATAAACACGAGGAGCACGATGAATCTGCTCAACCACCTGCAAGAGCCCAGTCAGCCGCCGAACATTTTCACGGTGCATACTCAGCTTGTTGTCCAGTTCATACAACTTCTTTTCTATGTACATGATCCACCTGAGAATAATGCAAACAAATTACCATACACTGTGACCAAAGACTTTAATTCCCAGTACTAAAATTAAACTATGAATGATACATTTTGGTAGCTATGCACTAGAAATTATTGCAGATTTCAACCTAACACAGGATGCTGGTTCGGTAAACATCTCTCTCATTATGACTACATACTTAAGCAGCTGAATTAACTTACCATGAACTTCAAATTATCTGTTCATATCTTATACTATCTTTGTATGCTACAAGTGTTCATTGTTAAAAGTGTAGAAAAAGTATGGATGAGAATTAATATCTTCACAGTGCAAGATGAATTTAACTCATTCATATCTTGTACTGTGAAGATTTTCATTCAATCATACTTTTTAAAATTATTTTTTTATCAATGTACTATCTCAAATACTGTCAGGCATTTTGATTAAAATACCAACTGCTTATATGTCAATCATAACACATTTATAAGTGTAACAAAAAGGTTTAAACTTCGCATCATACTCACTTCAGTCTGACGTGCAAATTTTCTGACAGTTCTTCTTTAGCCTTTATGCATCTCCGCTTGATGTCTTGTACCTAATTGACAGCATGAGAAAAATATCAAATATGTTAATCAATCGTCAAAAACAATGATGAAAATGTGGATGAAGAGGCAGTGAAATAAAAGTATTCTCTAAATCATATCACACAAACAAACAAAAAAATACTGATGGTTTTATAAGCAGGCCATAAGAGGTCCACTTTCATTTTCTTTAAACCCCATCTTTCTTTCATACATACTAATTAATTTATTCATTCAATCTCTCTCTCATATACATACATTCATTCATTCATTCTCTCTCTTTCTTCTCTCTCTTCTCTCTCAGATATATATACATTCATTTATTCATTTTCTCTCTCTCTCTCTCTCTTGTATACATTCATTTGTTCATTCATTCATACTCTCTCTCTTATATATTCATTTGTTCATTCATTCATTCTGTCTCTCCCTCTCTCTCATATTCATTCATTCATCCATTTGCTCATTCATTAATTTTCTCTCATACACATTTATTTGTTCATTCTTTCATTCATTATCTCTCTCATATACATTCATTTATTCCTTTCTCTTTCTATCTCCTTCTCTTTCTTTTCTCTCTCTTCCTTTCTCTCTCTTCCTCTCTCTCTCTCTCTCTCTCTCTCTCTCTCTCTCTCTCTCTCTCTCCTCTCTCTCTCTCTCTCTTCTCTCTCTCTCTCTCACACACACACACACACACACAACACACACACACACACACACACACACACACACACACACACACACACACACACACACACACACAACACACAACACACTACATACATACACTACAACTACACACTACATACATACATACAACACACATACTCTCCCTTACCCGTTGATGGTTCTTGAGCATGTGCATGAGGTTTCTCCGGTGTGATGTGCAGAGGTCCGGGAAGATGGAGGGATCATTGACTTTTCCAGCTCTGTTTTGGTTTTGCAAAAGCGCCTGTGCCAGAAAAATGAAAAATATTGTTATGTTAACCTTCTATAACAATGATAACACCTGTCAACGATATGATTCAAACCGGATGGGTGTTCGCCTTCACCTTGGCCCTAGCTGCTGCCTGATTCCTGGCATTTGTACCACACTGAGCCTTGTTTGCCCAAGTACTTTCTCCCCCCGCGAGCAATTACGGAGAACTCGCCCCTGTTGTCACAGCCGGAAAAACTGACACCCAAAATACAGAAGCAGGCACCTGCCCAGGACAGGAGTCGCTGGATAAAAGGATGTTTTGTCAGGCAGACCGGGAGAGACAGGAGAACAGGAGCAGACTCAGAATAGGTCACCCTCCGCCCTCAGTACCCCGGGCACATGGTCTCTCCTGCGGTCACACCTTTACCTTCCCCAATAAACCAACAAGCCAAGACCCCTTTCAATCACCATCTATGCCCCCCAACTTCATCACAATACCCTCTGAGTCATATATATATATATATATATAATATAATTATATTATATATATATATATATATATATATATATATATATATATAACTACATACATACATACATACATACATACATACATACATACATACATATATATTATATATATATATTTATATATAATATATATATATATAATACATATATACATATATACATATATAACATATATACATATATAACATAATATATACAACATACATATATATAT